TAGCCCGTGACAGGCAGCACGAGCAAAGTGCCAAGGCTTTGTAGAGTCCCGGCCAGAGCACGATACCATTCTTGACAGCCGAGATTAAACTGGAACATAATTGTATAGCCCAGGTGATAAGATTTCATGTTTATTGCAAAATTGTCATCCAAATTCAAACTTACGTCATAAACAACAGAGTTGTATCTTTCGTACACAAAATCGGCACACTGTATGGTGGCAGACTGGTCAAACATGTTGGCAGGGCAGAAGTCGAGGGTGCGGTTACTGGTGAGAGGTGCGTACCGCTCACAGCTGGCGAAGGCATTGGTTGCGCCGGAGCCGGAGGCCAGCGGCACAGCGTTCAGCAGCCACTCCGGCTCAAACGGCTCGCGTCGACTCTCTTCGCCACACTCGGGGATTTGGCACCTGAAGTCGACGTAGCACAGCGTTTGATGTAGGTACCTACCTTTTATACTTGTTTCTTTTTTATAGAACAGGCCTTTTATGACTGCATTAATGTTTAAGTTGCACATTACCTTTATACTTAGTAAAGAAATGTGTAGACAATCTAACTCTCATTTACCTTACTGATAAATTAATCTTTTCAGGAGGGATGTTTTCCGGATTCTCTGAAAATGTCGCTAGTTAAGCCAGTTCATAAGAAGGGCGATAAAACTGATTTAAGCAACCACCGTCCCATTGCTTTATTACCCACATCGGCCAAAGTAATAGAGACTGCGATGTCAAAAAGACTCATTGCATTTTTTGAAAAATTTAAAGTTCTCCATGACAGCCAATTTGGTTTCCATAAAAATAGAACCACAGTCCGAGGCTTATATAAGTATGTTCAGAAAATATTAAACATAATTAACAATAAAGAATACGCGGTGGGTTTGCTACTCGATATGAGTAAGGCATACGACAGAGTAAATTATAAAATATTACTCGACAAGCTCTATTATCCTGGTGTAAGAGGCCTAGCTTTTAAATGGTTTCAATCATATCTTCAAAACCGATCCCAATGCGTTGAAATTGAAAACACTAACTTTCATACAGGCGAAATTGAGCATGTCAGATCAAATCTCATCTCTATCACTGATTCTATTCCCCAGGGAAGCGTGCTGGGTTGCATTCTGTTCCTTGTGTACGTAAATGACCTTCCTCACTCAATTCCTTTCGATAGTATACTGTTTGCGGATGATGTATCTGTTGTTTTGACTCGCACATGTACTAATTCACTACAGAAGGACTTAGATGCGATATTGGATTCACTCACAGAATGGCTCGATCAAAATAACCCACAACTAAATTTAGAAAAAACAAAATTAATTCAATTTAAACCCCGCCAAAAAATTGCTTTCGATATCAGCTATATATATAAATCAAACAAATTAGAAATGGTAGATTCGGCAACCATGTTGGGTATTGAAATAGATACACACATAAATTGGAAACCCCATATTTAAAAATTATCTAGCCGTTTATCTTCACTTATATGTATATGCTCTTAGACAACTGAAACGTGTTACTGACCTATAAACGGCCCTTTCAGCTTATTATGCGTTTGCCCACTCGCGACTAGCCTATGGGATTATACTGTGGGGAAACAGCTCGTATTGTCAAGAAATTTTTGTTCTACAAAAAAAAAAATGATCAGAATATTAACCAATATAAAACAAACGGACTCCTGTAAACCGTATTTTACAAAACTTAACATACTTACTCTAACATGCCAATACATTTTTGAAGCCTGTAAGTTCGTTAAAAAACACGCAGATTTATACTCTCCGATAAAATTAATAAGACGTAATAATCGTTACCATAACAAGCTTAAACTTCCCCCCTCTAGCCTAAAATTATTTTCTTGTGCACCACACCCTATGTTAATAAAAGTATATTAACCACATCCCAAATTATATTAAAAATTTGGATAAAGACACGGTCTTTCAAAAACGTTTAAAGGAATTTCTAAACAAAAAAACCTATTATAATAAGTCTGAATTTTTTGGCGATAAATGTATTTGAAATTGATTACATGTCTATATAAAATTTAGGTAATAATTGAAAATACAAATCAGTAATTGAAAATACAAGTCATGGGCTAAGTCGTTTGGCCTCTTAGTTAATCCCGCTAAGTCGCAGGCCATGATTGTTGGTAGTAGCAGAATAAGATGCAAGCTTGATTGGTCCTTAGTACCTGCGTTGGTCTATGATGGAACTCTCCATTGCATATACTGACAAAGCCAAAAATCTAGGCATAATAATGGATTGTACCTTGTCTTGGACCTCTCATGTTAATGAGGTCAGCAGGCGTATGCACCACTCATTTCACTCCCTCAAACGACTCCAATATTTTCTCCCTTTTCATACTAAAATTATGCTAGCGCAAACTCTTCTTCTCCCCATACTTGACTATGCCGACGTTTGTTATTTAGATGTGACCGTGGAGCTTTTAAATAAATTAGAGCGCTTACAAAACCTGGCTATTCGGTTTATTTTCGGTCTCCGTAAATATGATCATGTTTCCGAATTTCGTGCTCGGTTAAATTGGCTCCCAATTCGTCTTCGCCGTGATGTGCATATCCTGTCCACTATTTATAATATACTTCGCGACCCTAACTCCCCACCCTACCTTCGTTCCCGGTTCCAGCTGCTGCCCCCTCCCACCCGCTCTAGACGTCCCTGCATCACTAAGACGCTCGTTCAACCCAGCTGCAATACTAATTTCTTTTTTAACTCCTTTTCTTGTAGTGCAGTGCAGTTGTGGAATAAACTCCCTTCCCACATCCAGGCGAGCCCGTCGATTGCTTCTTTCAAGAAAAGTTTGAAAGCGCACTTTCTTGCAGAACTTTCTTCGTAATCATCTTATTGTTTCTTAATTATTATTTTTTTATTTTTTATTATTATATATTTATATATATCTATATATATTATGATGATGCTATTTATTATACGTTATTTATTGTATTTATTTATAATACTTATGTGTGTATCGGTATTTATACAAATTTATTCGATAGTTTATAGTATTTCACCCTCTCTATCTTGCACGCTGTTGCCCGCTTACAACTTACGCTCTCACCACCATAGGTTGACTGGAAGAGATCTCTTTTAGAGATAAGTCCACCTTTGCTCACTTTTGTTCACAGATTTTTTCTTGTTGTTTGTTTTTTTTGGTGCAATAAAGAATATATATATAAAAATTATTATTAGCAATAAGTGTACGAATAATATATATTATAATAATAAAATAAATGTACGAATAATATATATTATAATATATTATGTTAAAATAATTGTATCATTAGGTTTAAGTTTAAATTGTGCTACGTCCTAACAGGGTATCACATGTATGTATCTAAGTTTATTAAAATGTGAATTGCAATAAATTAAATTAAATTAAATGTAATAGTAATAAAAATGTTTAATAATCATAAAAATAATAATTTAATTAATTTTAAGTTAAAAATATTATGTAATAATTAATAAATAATAAATAAATAAATAACGCACACACTCAACATAGCCCCGCACTAGGGAAACCCTGTGTCGCGGGTGCCATGGACACACACATAGACAACCACAAATTACACCCAAACTCACGAGAGAAATAAATGTAGGCCATACAACTATTTCTCTCGGCCCGGGAATTGAACCTGGGACCTCTGCGTGGCAGTCCGGCATGGTAACCGTTCGACCACGGAGGCAGTTATGTTTATTATGTATATTATGTTTATTAATAATTATAGAATCTATAATATAATTAATTATCTAAACTAATCAACTACGTTCAAGCTTGCAATGTATTTAAATTCCATTGTAACTTTGCTACACCCTTACAGGGTATCACATGTATAAGTTTATCATCCATGTGAAATGCAAATAAATAAATGAATGAATACTCGTAGCAGCTTCATAGTTAAATAAAAGTATTTTTACAAAAAAGTAGGGCCTTTCTACCAATATTACATAGTTCTCGTAATATTTTGTACCGAATTAAGGAAAGGAATATGTTAAAAATAGTGTATGACATATACACATAAGCAATCAATTTACGACAAGTCATTAACAACATTTTTATTTCCTACTGTGTTGTTTTATTAATGAGAATGTCATCTATTACATTTCTCATCTGTTCATTGTCATGTCAGTGGAAAATAACGTATTTCACGTGTTAAACCATTTTCCATAAAATATGAATTCTATTGCCTGTTTTCTTATTTATTTTTATATTTATTAATCTATTATTGGTGTTCTATATCGGCGCTGACACTCATCAGCGGTCTGTGTTACCTGAACTGAATAGATATTTAATAAATTATGATTATTTTTAAGGCGGTTTCATTTAATTTTATTATATGAGAGATGTAAATACTCTTAATACTTGTACATGAAAAATGTAGGCGTAGGTATAAAAAAATTGATATGCTTAAAACTAATGGAAATGTAGATATAAGTTTGACGGTACTAATGAGGAGACGACTTGAAATAATGCTGGATTTGGAAATGAAGTCTATAAAGATTATTGTCGAAAACGTCAACGTGACCTCCAGATTCCAACGTAAGCATAGATCATTTATAGGTTCGGCACAATTTAGTCAAAGGGTTGTAAAAGATGTTTTATTTTGAGCTTCCGTTGTGCAAGCTAACAATTAGTAGTCCTCTTTTCTAGACGTATGCACGTGTTTCTTAACACATTATAGGATACAGTCCGTTTAAAACTTTACTTCTTGAATTTAACATAATAACATATTTTTTATATATTTTAAAATATTGTTCATAAAATGTCGCCTTTGTAAATTATTAATTGATTAATATCAGTTCGATTAATGAGCGTAAATTAATTAGATAATTAATATTTATCAATGTTTACATAATTGGTTGTTGACATTGATTGCCGAGCTATCTCGAGGCTACGTTTGAAATGGAGATTATTTGATTAAATTTGATGCCAGAGACACTACATAAATAAAGGTTGTCAATAAATTATTAAAAACTGTCTTACAAGGCCGTAATCACAGAGTAAAGTTACATGAACTGTTTTTAAAATCAGGTAGAAATTCACTCGGGTATGTATCATGAAAGAAACTGGGAACATAACATAACCAAAAAGAAAACAAAGGGCCGTACGCTTGGGTGTTTTACTCTTCAATATTGAAAAGGATATTTCACCAACTTTTGTCTTCTGCACTGAGATAGAGAAAAACGTTTTGCGATATGTTTCGGCTGCTGTGTCTCTTTGATTTTCACGTTAATAATTTGCTTGTAATGTAATATAGTTCAATGTAAGTGATTATGACAATCCCAGTATTGAGTAATACAATTTAACAAAAAGGTAAGTGCGCGTCAAGTATCAAGATGGAGGTCGAATGACCACTATCTCATCTGATGAAAAGTGACGATGAGGTCGACAGTGGAGCATGTACATTTGTAAAATGCCTACTCACTCCTGCCTTAAAAAGGCTCAAGTTATAGAGTTCAGGGAACAAGTCAGCGGGGAATTCCACTCCAAAGCCGTACGCCATACAAACGTGAGACTACAAACTGGAACACAGCGGACAGCGGCGCGGTGGCGACAGCGATGCGGGCAGTGGTTTGCGCGACTTGATCAAAATGCCTAGGTTTGCATATGATGTGCTCGACGGCAGCAGCGCGGAAGACGAGATACAAGTGTCGCTCTCCAGTTGAGCGGTGAATGCGTGTTAGTTAGAAAAGACCACCAATATAAAACAACTAACATAAAAATGTTTGATAATGACTATTAATCACTATATACTTCTAGAGAAGGTTAGAGAACTATTCGTTCATAGTTCATTCGCGAGATGGGAAAACTCATAATAACTCATACTGAATAAAAGAATTAGGTACTATAATAACATGCTATAAAAAACTATAAAAAGGTCACGTCACAGTTGACAGCGCGGTCACACTGGTTACGTCACTATACCACTGCAACCTAAGCGATTTGGTCGCTAGTGTCGAGGAAGGCCACCTTTACCGCGCCGCCGCCCGCTGTCGTAAAGTTTGTGGCCTAGTAGTATGTCAACGTAAAAAAGTGGCCTATGGAAAAAATTAAATATCTTCAGTATTAAATACCACCTATAGTAAACACCAGTTTATAGTATGGTATAGTAAATAACAGTAAATGCGTTTTCTAGGAACGTTATTAAAGAAAATGAGAAACAGATTACGTGGTTTCTCCAAATTCATTAGTACCCCTGTAACAATTTACGGATTGGTTCACTTAAGCATTTTGATCAAGTCGCGCAACACGCAAGCCGCCACCAGCATCGCTGCCGCCACCACACCGCCGCCCACTGTATGTCGAACGACAGACAGACTTCGCAGCCTCACCTTTTAAGTTACATTTCGAGGGCTGTGCGCATCTCTCTGGAAATTCCTTTGAAGTCTGCCCCCCAGTTTCTGCCGTGGCAACTGTCAAAATTTCTGTGTTTCTATATTTTTAACATAAGCGACAGGCCTGTTATTTTCGTTGTTAAACAGCTGTTGTTGTCATCTATTCTTCCGTAGCCTATTATATAAAGTATTTGTTTTTCTGGTATACAATATTTGAAGAAAAGGAGTGTTTTTGCTCTTGGCCGATCCGAGTTTTTGGCTTCCTGATTTTAGTTTGCGTTCTTTTTGTTTCACCACCACTACCATCTCCGGAGCCGGTTGGTCGATGTATTCATTGCCGACCCCCGAACCTGCACTCTCTTGACCAAAGCACCCGATTGACATGTTTATCGCCCCTCCTCTGTCCTCAGCCTCATTTAGCAGGGGTCTCAAATCTCTCCGAGTCTCCACCTGCACCCATACCCTACACCACTACCCCATCAGTAATTTTTTCATTAACCCTATACGCTCTTTTGTATTTTTTTAAAAATTAAATACACATTTACCTTTTACACTTTTATACTTTTCGTTTTTATATTGTAAATATACAAAATAGAAAAGGGATGTATCACCTGTGTGGAATAGCGGCGGCGGAGAAAATGTATTCGCTCATGAAGGCGGACATGATCGTAGGAACAGCCACCAGCAGGATGTTCATTAATTGGAAGCGTCCAAACTGGCCCAGCTCGTTCACTAATACATAGTCCAAGTCTATTCTCTGCGTGTCGCCGTCGCTTCCACCTTCAGCTTCCACATTTTCCTTTGTTTCCACCATCTTCAACTAGCCCACCGCCGAGTGACAAAGCTGTGAATCCCAAAAACAAGACGGGTAAGTTTTATAGCATCTGAAGTTCCATACCGTTACTAATCTCTGATAGAATATCTACTTAGTTTCTGATTAAGACTACTATAATCTAGTGTTATCGCCGACGATCAGTATCGAAATCCTGGTGCGTGGCTTTGACAGTGCGTCGACACGTCTACTTTAAGTCCAGGGTCGGACCCTGTTGTTCAGTAGACAGCAATCATTATCTCAACGAATACCTACGAACGTACTGAAAATTTACTTGGAATATTCACCATAATAGTCTTGACACTACTACTCTAGTCTTATTTACTGGATAGAATAGAATAGAACTCTGCTTGGGATCCAGCTGGACAGTAGCCTCAGTTAGAAAACCCATGTAGAGAAACTTGTACAAAATTTGTCATCTTTTGTATATGCCTTATTCAACTTAAAGAAAGTTATTAATTTTGAAACAGCTCTAACTGCTTATTATGCCTGTTTTCAGTCCAGACTCGCATACGGAATAATACTTTGGGGAAACTGTGTAAACATATATGAACTAAAAATGCTTCAAAAGAAGTGTATTCGTATATTAGTTAATATCGACAGAACAGACTCCAGTAAACCGTACTTCATAAGACATAAAATTCTATCAATTACTTCAATATATTTTGCAGTGTTGCAAATTCGTTCTCAGACATTTCGAACTATATTCCCCCAAAACAACCATAAAACGAAATAATCGCGGTTTAAACCAATTAAAATTACCATTCTCTACTCTATGTTTGTACAGGGCAGGGTTCCATCCAGTGGCACTCCAAATATTTAATGCTGTACCGAACAAAATATGAAAAAAGCATAAAAAAAATTGAAAACCTCCTTAAAAGGTACCTTGTTGAAAATTGACTTTTTTAATTATACATAAATACTTAAATAAATTTCAACAATTAACACTGACACACTGACTACGTTTATTGACATCAAATTTCATATTGTTTACATATAATGGTTGTATAATTTGTAGATTATTATTTTTGACTTAAGCATGAAATGTAATATGATTCCCTTGACATTAATTATATAAGCTGTACTTATTATTATTAATTATTTGCCATAAGCATGAAACGTATATTAAATAACTATTTGTATGTACTCTCTCATATATTGCGACGCCCCAGCTGGGTGCTACATGTCTAATAAACAATTTAAATGTATGGAAACCATGTAGAAATGCAATAAATATATGAATATGACTATGAGTATGGGTATGGGTGTGGGTGTCGGCGTCGGCGTCGGCGTCGGCGTAGGCGTCGGCGTCGGCGTCGGTGTCGGTGTGGGTGTGTGCATAGAAATATTAAAATAATAGTAATTTAGTTAAAATGTCAAAATAAACTTCTATCAAAAAAATAGAATTCATGTTAGACATAAGTTAAAAATGTTAAAAACATGATTATAAAATGTGATTGATTTGAGTAATTATAAGTTGTCATGTAGATAATCATTATAACATTTATCAATCAATAGCGGTGTCAATTTCTTTTTGAATAATGCTAATGGAATGACTTCATATTTTCAGGTTGTTTATTATACATTTTTGGTGCCATCCCAACTATACTCTTTCTTAACAAAGCTGTTTTGTAAGTACCTGTTAACAATAGGTTGAAGTGCTGTGATCGCACAGGCCTTGCTCTGACATCCGACAACTTTATAATTTGATGTATGTACATTTTTACTAATATACATGTTTCTAAAATATATAAAGAGGGCAGAGTTAATATGCGAAGCGAAATAAACATTTGTTTGCAGCTTTCTGTGGGTTTTAACCCACACATAGCTCTTATGCACTTTTTTCGGATTTGAATATGTTTTCTCTTTCACTACAATTTCCCCAGAATATAACACCAAACCTTAATGTTGATACAACTAAACCATGGTAAGCTACTACTACGGATTCCAGAGTTTTACTCTTTAGACAAAGCATAGAGTGCATATGCGGATTTACTAAGTTTCGTACGAAGTGTTCTGCTTGAGGTTTCCATATTGATTTATTGTCTAGAGTTATTCCTAAAAACTGAATGACTTGTAACTCCTCCGCATTCTGCCCTTGGTAATTAAAATCTCAGTTTCCAATTCCAAGCCTTTGATAAAAATGCATAATTTTGTTTTTTTCTAAATTGATTGTTAAATTATTATTTTGTTATCAACAAAGATCACTTATTATGATTTGTTAGCCAAGTTATGATTTTAGCAAGAGCAGCATTTACTTTGTTTTCATGTGTCTTGTGTCATTATTTTCGGATTTTATTATGGCCGTACAGTCATCCGCGAATTGAACCATATTACGATCATTTTGTCCTCAGGAGATCATTTATATAAATAAGGAACAACATGGGTCCGAGGACACTGCCCGTGGAACGCTATAATTTATTACCCTTGGTTTTGATAAGAAAACTTCTTCATATTTAGTTTTTGGACAAATTCTGGTAATTACGATGTACTGTACCCTACCGCTTAGATATAGAGGCGGCACCACACTCTGATTTGTTTGACAGCACGATTGGATGTCTGATGTGTGAATGCAGGAAAGTGTTTGAACCAATGATGCCTGTGAGTTCAATCCTGTGAACTGTATTATGTTTATTTGTTTGTATGTTATTTGATATGTTTTTTTTTTGTTGTTTTTGTTTGTAGAGATTTGGATTTATCTGTAAAGCTACAAATGTTAAATGAATAAATAAATAAATAAATATGATTCCATCAATTTTAATATAGTTCCTCTAATTCCGTAGTTGTCAAGCTTTTTTAATTTAATTTTAAAGTTTTATGTGATCTTCATAGTCAAATGCTTTCGTCATATCAGTATATATTGCACATACTGTTTTCTTTTCATCTACATTCTTCATTATATTGTTAAGTAACTTAAAAATGACCATATTAATAGTTTTATTCTTTCTAAATACTATTTGTTTATTACATAAAATGTCAAATTTGGTAAGATATGTAAGTATATGCAAAGTCATAAATAATATATTCATGTATTTTTGAAATTGTTGATATTAATGCTACAGGTCTATAGCTTGCCATATTTTCTTTGCTCTTCTTTTTATGAAGGGGTTTGACTATAACTGGTTTCAGTTTTTTTGGATAGACCTGATTGGGTATATGGCTCAAAGGAGCGGCTATTGAGTCAGCGACAAATTTCACGACTCTTGTATGGACGCCGTCATAACCTACACTCTTCTTCCTTTTCAGTTTACCTATAGCTTTCATGATATCTGGAGGAAGAACGGGTGGCATAAACATGGATTGTCAACATTTATGATTATTACAACTTTCTCTAGACAGTATTGTATGTTCTGACGTTCGGTCTTGGTTGACATAATATTCATTAAAAGCAGTTGCTATTTCTGATGGATTTGTAATAATTTTCCCGTCTTTTTTAATTTCTCTTATATGTTCTTTTATTTCCTTTGGACCATTTATTAACCGCCATGTGGAGAGATTTATTTTGAGATGGTGCAATGAGATGATTGT